GTTTTGTCATATGGCATGTTGAGTTTCGAGCTGATTGTCTCACTGAGGTCACCGTGTCCATCACAGAGCAACAGTCTGAGTTTGTTGCTTTGTGTTCACCCATTGAAACCAAACACTGACGTCAAATCACACAATGGATGTAATTTAATGGATTTATTCTCAGCCGTTAGAATGTTTGTTCAAACTTAAACTCTGTTTCTCCAAACAGAAGTCATTTAAAGAGCTATCTGCAACAAATAGGATATTAATTGTTCATAATAACCTTTACACAGAACCACACTTCATAACAGCTAAACAATGTGTCAAACTCGGAGCCCGCAGGCCAATTCTGGCCCTCATTGCCATTTTATCTGGCCCCAACACTTTAAATGTTAAATATATTTGTTTTCTTTTTTTGTTGTTGTTGTTGCTTTATTCAGCRCTTTCTTCTCATGACAGAAGGACAAATTTCAAACCAAAAAAATTGAGCTACATTTTTTTTCAGTAATCTTTGATTTTGGTGTTGAAAGAGCAGCAGTGAATTGACATTTCTGTATTCTTCTCTTATTGTAAAATTAAATAATTTGATTTTTGGGAGAGTTTTAAGAAACAAAAGAAAAAGTTGTTGATGAAGAGTAAGGCATAATAAATGAATCCTAAAGACGAGTATTTCTGAATCGCTATCCATTAAGTTAGATGTTCTAACACTACGTAGAACATAACATGGAATAAAGTCATTTATATTTTGATGAGAATAATATGTAATTTTTTATATAAAGATTGACAAATGTAGGCCCTTGGCTTAGACCTAGTTCTGAATTTTGGCCCCTTGTGGAACTGAGTTTGACCTCCCTGAACTAAACCATCAACATATTTGATGCACAAACTCAAAACAATGTCATGAAGGAATCTCCACATGGAAAACAAAACCATATTTCATGATTATAATACTGGTTTACTGAGTCCTACCTCATGAAATCAGCTTCACTGTTCAGTGCTGACTCATGTTTCACAGGAGCTTTTTGGATCCTGAGATCCTAAAAGTGAAACTTTTCCTTTGAACCAAGCAGAATGAGCAACAAAGCAATGAAAACTGGTTTTCCTTCAATATATTTGAAATGACAAATATAATTACTTGATAATATCACAACACTGGAACACAATTCATAGCCATGCAAACAATTTGAGTCATGGCTCTGGACCAGGTACATAAATTACTGAGGGTTTATGTGGCTTTATAAACAAACAAAGGATGGTCATTATAAAATATTTAATGTGCATTGCTTTAAAAAAATCTATTTTTTAATGTAGATTGCTGCAAACCCACATTTATGTTAGGAATTTTTCCCGAGTCAGAAACAGGTTCTATTTTTACTGCGTTAAATCAGGAAATTGATGTTTGTGTAAATTATATTATCTTTGAATTTAGGCGTCACAGTGACTTCCTCACCAAACACTGAGGGTCAGTTGTTTCCTCCTGAAATGAGTCCATGGGGGAAGTTAGAGGTGAGACATGCTGAGGTCATAAATAACCCTGAGTAAAACCCACTCTAATCTGAAGGATGGTCKCCTTCTCCCCACTCCCCTGTGGATTTTACAGCAGTCATTAGCAGCTCATATCCACTCAGGATGAAGGTGAWAGGCCCTGCCTGTGTTTTTCAGCTGTGGAAAGGAGCCAACGGCCCCCATTTTCATGCTTTTTAAGGCTTCATTGACGGAGAACGAGGGCCGGGCAGTGCTTTATGTGCCGGTGGGTAAATCTCAGCAGGTGAGCCGGAGTCACGCTAATACAGTATCTTTAATGCATGCTGGGCCTGTCCAAAACACAGAGAAGAACCCATTAGTGGAAATACAAACAGCCCAAAGGCTGATCCAGGTGAAAGGCATATAGCTGCACTTCCTTTGACAAACAATACGCTCATCTCCCAGTTTGATCAAATAAGATCTTTAAGGGGCAGAAAACCAAAATCAGGTCTCAGGTCGCTTTCACATTGTCTGTGGAGCTAAATGAGATGAAATCACTCACATTTGAATGGTCTCTTTGAAGCTGGATGAGCATAATAGATTTAATTCATGCAGATCTGAATGTGCATTCAAAAGCAACGCATCGTTACATTACAGCAGGAGTTTATTTCCATGTCAGATTACAACTTGTACACATAAAGTTTGCACACGTATTCTTACTTTCTGTACAAAAATAATATTTATGCAGGAGACCGAGACACAAATACAAAATAAATAGACGACAAGGCAATGAGTCAACATGACCGAGAACACTGTTTCAGTTTTCTGAATCCTGCTGGAGCAGGAAATTCTCTCTCCGTTTTGTGTTTTCTCACAGTCGTGGGCCCCGCCCAGCCCCGTGCGTACATGCATCTTCTCAGGACTGTGAGCTCTTCAGCAGCAGGTTTGGTAAACTCTCACCTCCAGAGTCCTCYTTCACCAGCAGGAATATGGGAACAGCGGGTACTGACTCCACTCGGTCACATTGCCGTGGTGATAGCCGTGGTGCACGGCTTGTGAGGTGTAGTCGGCGGTCAGAGGGTGGTGCGGGGGGTACTGAGCAGGTCCGGGTCCACTCCACTGGCCCACCAGGGGCTGCTCGGCACTGTAGGGGCTGTAAATGTGGTGGCCGAGGACGCCCGGCTTGCCGGCCTGGGCCACTGTCATGTTGAGCGCGCCGCCGTAGTCCTGGGGGCCCGGGAGGTGTTGCTGGGGGCCGCAGTGGGAGGGACCAGCTGCCTCGTGTGCACGAGGCTTCGAGGAGTCATGATCGGGGATGGTGGCAATGTCGGGAACCCGGGACCCGAAGCAGCTTCGTTCTGATCCACTATTACTGCTGCCGACGCTGGTGGGGGGCGACGGAGACTTCCCATACTCGTGAGCCCTGAAGGGGAAGAAAGATGCAAATGAGTTTCCTGGAAAAGCAGATATAACTTCCCTTTCTGTGGCGTAATGGGTCACCTGTAGGAGCTCTGAGCCGGGACAAGTTGTTCTGCGCTGTAGATGTCTTTTGTGTCCACACCAGCAGGAGAGTGGGTCCTCCCCCCCTGCTGGGTGTCTGCACCCCACAGAGAGTAATGCTCTTCCTTTACGGCATCTTCATCTTTCACTTTGATCAGCTCTACTTCATCTTGGTCATAACTGTGGCACGGAGACTCGCAGAGGCCTGAGAAGACGCAAATGTACGGATGAGTTGAAAATAGAGAACAGGAAACCCACAGGAAAGCATTAAAACCGGACCTGGTGAGCCGTCCTCTCTGGAATCCTGGCTCAGGTTTTCTGACATCTTGGCTTTTTTCTCAGTGCATGCTTGGGTTTTGTTTGATCGCCTGCACAGGAGAATCAGGGTTTATATCTTCAGATCTGTTTAGATACCAACTCGCACACTTTTTGTGCACCAAACCAACCTTTTCTTTTTGGTGCCTTCATCCCTGAAACCCTTGGCGAACGGGTTGTGATCGATCTTCAGCCTTGTGATCTGCAGAAAGAGAAACCGAGTGAGACCCCTGCAGATGGGCACACGTGGGTTTTGTTGAGGTAGAAACCGACCTTGGTGTTCTGGTAGGCAGTGACTGCGGTGAAGGACATCTCCGGGAAGGTGAAAGTCTGGAAAACACTCCAGCGGACGCTGAACAGGTCATCTGCTTGGACCACATGGAAGCGCGGGTGGTAGCGGTGCATGGAGTGCAAGATGATCTGCAGAGGTGGTGAGACGTCAAAGCCCTGAACAAAACACGGTCTGTAAAAGGTTTGTGTCGCACGCCTCGTACTTACGTGCCCGTGCTGATCGAGCGTGTTGTTGGTGAGCTTGAGCTTGAGGAAAGAGACGCTCTGCTTCATCCAGTGGCTCCCCAGGGCTGGTGAGTCCGGGTGGAGGTAGGTCCTGCAGGGGGGTTGAGGCTCCGCTTTGCCTGCCACCTCCCATTTCTCTTTATTCCACTGCAGGGAGGAGGGAGACAGACAGCGGGTGAATCTGTTGCATAGAAAGCTGATTCACAGATGCAACTTCGGCCCAACTTCCCACCATGGTTTGAGTGATTGCTGGACCGATACCACCCACAGAGACGGGGGGTGGGGGTGGGGGGGTTAGTACAGTGAGCCCCCAGCAGGAGATAGGAAAACAGGAAGTGATAGTAGTCTTTGATGTACAATGTCAGGGGAAGCAGATGGGGGGGGGGGGGGGAATAAACAGGCGGGCTCACTGATCTGAGAGGATTGTTACTCAACAAAGAACTACAACCTTACCTTATACCTGAAACTGTCCTCTGGGACCATGTCAACCAGTAAGATGTACTTGGCACAGGGGATGAGACCTGACAGACTGAGCTTACAGTGAGGAAACATCCTCCTGGAACAAAAGCACATGGTTAAAACAAAGTTAGCAGAAACAGCTACAGAAAAGCACATCCTAACCTGCCCGGCTTGGTGATGATCATCTCTGTTCCTGTTTCATGGAATGTCCTCCAGAGTTCAAGGTCCTCCAGAGTCATCCTGATGTTGCCCTGGTGGTAGGTTTCGGATGCAGCAGCCATGGAGGTGGTAGGAGGACCACTGAAGTTGGATTTTAGGTCTGCAAAAATAAATAGGAATTTTGATTTTAAATTAGACACTAAGCATGAATCAAACAGCTACAATTTAAGTTGAGAGGTCCACTTTAAAATGATTGGGAAGTTTGGTTGGTGCTCACCCCTGATGGACTGCATCGTTTAGGTTCAGCTGCAGCACAGAAAAACTTTGTGAAGAGGTTTTGCATTAAAAATCCAAATGTTAGCCAAATCCAAAATGCGTATCTCTGGTTCCCTGCCTCGTCTACAAGAGAAAAATAATAATAATCCAGTCACGTCTTACAGGTCAGACGGTCCCAGCAGATACAGATAGATGAGAATAATGTCGCTCCAGGAGAGGGTGACCGTGACTTTTAAGGGGAGCTCTGCAGTAGGTGGGGCCAGGAGGGCCATTCCCAGGCTTTGAAGTGACACAGTGAAGAGTCAGGGGCCCGCTGTGATTGGAGGGGACTGAAAACCAAAGAGACTTAACAGAGCCTTGATACCGTCCCCACAGGAAGGGGGACGGAGGAAATGCATCTTTATTAACTGCTAAGAGACTTTCAAAACAAATACAGACTTCCCCGCTTCAGCTCGGCTCTTCAAACTGTCTCTGAAAGCCCACCGCAGAAAGGTCACTACCTCAGTTTGTTTAAACACAACTGGGAGAAACAGAGCAAAAAAGGTGCTTCCAGTAAAGGATAAGTTCAGTGAAAAAGTCCCAGATTGGGGTAAAGAAACCGACACTCTCGCTGGCTGAAATACACTAACAAGGAGGTGTGTAAGATTTCATGAGTTAACGACCACTTTTTGTAAAAGTGGGTGGGAAAGTCTGTGTAAAGCCATCATGGTGTGATGATAACATGGAACTCCTTCTGCAGGTAACTTTTACCTGAGGGCATGCAAGACTGCAGGGGCGAGGGGGATGGTGGTGGGGTTGTGTATTGGCGGGGGTGTCTAGACAAGCCCATGCTCCGACAGATAATCTCATTAGGCCTGTATCCCTGGAAGGAGCCAGCTTCTGCATGTGGAGAAGGCCTTGTGTATGGGCAGACAATTAACAGCCAGTTAGCAACACAAGCCCAAAGTCAGGCCTGAATGGGACAGTGGGGGGAGCTTCCCTGCATCCACATCCAGCACCCCCCATCACGGATCGGTCTGACACTCCCATCAAACCGCTTCACCACAGGCCGAACAGATGCTGCAGGCGTTAGCATAGAGGGGGGATAAATCAAACACAGCTCCCTTCCTTTTCTGCTTTTTCACGTCTCTTTTCCAGCCCCGACGCACCACCTTCACTTCACATGCCTGCTGCATACAATGCCTGCTGCAGGCCCAGCGTCTTTGTTCCACCCCTTCAGTCTGGCTGTATGGAGGACAGGCTGAGTGCTCCAAGCAGCTCAGTTAAAGTGTGGCTCCACAAGGCTCCCCTGTGAATACATCGACGAGCTCGGTGCAGGATCAATGTCAAATAAAATAAAAAAGGAAACCATTCTGGAGGTAATGATGCACTTAAAAGATCATTTAACCGTCCAGATGAAACACCAACACCACTCCTCTTCTTCAGTGGAACTCCACAGCACAACTTTGGCCTTGACAAAGTGCGATGTGTTTGTTGCCGCCTTTACGTGAAAGCGGTTGTTATCGAGGAGTTATGAATGACAGGCTCCGTGTCGCTCTCCTCACTTTGTTTTTGGCTCTCCTGGGGCGACCAAGTGAGCTCTAATGGAGAAGCTCGATGGGAGTCCGAGAGGTCACCTCTCAGCTCTTTCCTCTGCTTGGGGCTCGATGTGTGGCAAGAACTTCAAGAGATGGGTTCTCCTCAGGTCACCTGTAACAGACAGTGTTGGAGCAGAGGTGTATGTTTCAGCAGCAGTGACAGTTCTGGGTCTGGAGGTGACACGACCAGAGCAGTAAAGCTGCTTTATGGAAGCTCCAGGCTGAGGGTGTTATTTGGAGCAGACACATCCAGGCTGGTGTTGTGTGGAATGTAAACAAAAATTGAATGCAGTGATTTGCAAATTTCATAAACGTATATTATACCTACAATGAAACATGATGAACATATCAAATGTTTAAAATGTTATATTTTAAATAAGGTCATTTTGGATAAGAGCAGGGTGCCCAAAACTTTCCCTGAGAGGGACAAGATGAAAATCTATGGGCTGCAGGCCAAGTGCAGTAACACTGTTTAATTCATGAAATGCAAACATTTTTTAAGTCTTGTTGTCTTGCTGAAGTATGTATTTATGTAAGTATGTTAAGTTTGTATGCAAGACCTTATGCAAGTATGCAAGAAGGCACCTGGATGGGAGTGTGTGTTGGTGTAAATCATGTTTATGCTTTTCTGCATTGATGGAGCCTTTCTGGCTGCTGCCCTTGCAGAGGCACTAATACACCCCCATACCATCAGAGAGGCACGATTTTCGGTTATGATTTCAGGTGCATGAAGATCACAGCATTATTTGTTCTTATTTGTACCCTAGATTTTTATTTTATTTTATTTTTATTTATTCATTTCATTTGTAATACAAAATAACAAAGAACAAAATCATGCAATCAAAATAAAATCAAATAAAATGAAAGGCAGCAGAAGAAGAATAAATCTTATAATATCTGCCCCTTTTTTATACCCAAAATATGTTCAAAAGTAAATTACAACAAAAACCAAAACAACTGAAAACACACAAAAAACTAAAAACAAAATTTAAGACACCAACTCAAAAAACAATTTGCATGAATTCACTTATACTTCTCCATATTTCTTCAGAATACTAGATTTTATCATTCTCTTCAATATATACAAAGTTCTGRCATTTTTAACCTCATCTTCAATGCTGTTCCACAAACTTATTCTCTGGATTAAAGTGGATCGCTCCTTCAGGCTCATACGAACCCAAGGTTTCACAAAGATTTAGATTCCCWTAAGATAATAACAGCTCTCTCTTTTAACAAATTTTACTTGAATGTTGTAAGGTAAGACACCTTTATGAGCTCTGTTCGTTAACAGCAAACCATTATAATCGACCAAATCATAGAATTTTAATAATTTCAATTCATAAAACAATATATTCGATGGATGGCTGTATTTTTTTCTTGTAATAATTCTTAGTGCTCTTTTCTGTAAAATGAAAATAGGATTTGTGATAGTTTTGCAAGCTTTACCCCATACTTCAATACAGTAAATTAAATGTGGAACAATTATAGCATTAAACAACATAAGTAGTGCTTTATCATTGAACAGTTCTCTTACTTTGTACAGGACTCCAATAGATTTGGCTATTTTTGTTCTTAAACCATTTATATGATTTTTCCATGTCAGTTTTTCAATAATGACACCTAAAAACTTCATTTCACTGACTCTACAGATCTCTAGTCTACATCATCAATTTTAAATGAAACATCTATAGTTCTGTTATTGTTACAGAAAATCGTGTAATTTGTCTTGTCCAAGTTTAATGATAATTTATTCATTTAAAACCAATTTTGTATTTTCACAAATTCTATGTGTACCATCTCCAACATTTGTTCTATATCTTTACCGGAACAAAAGAAAGTTGTATCATCAGCAAATAGAACACACCCAAAAAGTCCAGACACATTGACCAAATCGTTCACATACAAAATAAATAACTTAGGTCCGAGAATGGAACCCTGCGGCACTCCACACGAGATGTTACAAAACTCAGATCCTACATTATTTATTTGTACAAATAGTTTTCTTTCTTCCAAATAACTAGACTGTAACGCAGGTCCTCTAATGCCATTTTTATTTAGCTTTTCAAAAAGAATACTGTGGTTAATAGTACCAAATGCTTTTTTAAAATCAACAAAAGTACTGTTTTTGATCAACAGCAGTTGTTGTATGTTCAATTAATTCAATGAGAGCCATTGACGTAGAATTTTTTGGTCTAAACCCATACTGACTGTTACTTAATATATCCTGCTTATCTATGAATTTTCCAATCTTATCACAAATAATTTCTCCAAAATCTTTGAAAATTGTGGTAACATGGATATTGGTCTGTAGTTGTTAAACACACGTTTTTCACAATTTTTAAAAAGAGGAATTACCTTTGCTATTTTCATGTTGTTTGGAAATATACCAGTTGAAAATGATAAATTACAGATGCATGTAAACGGTTCAATCACACAATTCATTGTCTTTTACAAACATCATGTCCATGTCAACCCAGTCTTTTGTTCTCTTGTCTGCAAGATTTTTAATAATATTCGTTATTTCTTCTTTGTCAGTTTCATAAAGAAATAAACTACTGACACAACCTGTAACAATGTGGTTCACATTTCTATCTACTTTTGGTATGTTAGATGCAAGACTTGGGTCAACATTCACAAAATAATGATTGAATCCGTTTACAGTTTCATTTTGATCATGAATTTCAATGCCATCCTTTACAAAGTACTGTGGAATACCTGACAAATTTTATCTGCAGTTAAAATGCAACAAGTGTTTATGGCATGCAAGGCCAGTATAAAACTAAAAATATTGTAGTTTTACAGCAGACATGTTCAAGAATAACCCCTGAAGCAGATTTTTTAAATTTATTTTTTAGTCTAAATTTTAGATTATAGATGTGTTAGTGTACCAGATTTTCCTTATTTTTAGAGAGCTTGGGTCAGAGCTAACAAATAACAAACCTTCAGTCAGAGTAGCTTCGACTGGGCTCTATGTCTGCTTTAGGACAAATAAGACTCTGTCCCACTTAACAAAACACCACCAGCCTTTTTATTATTATTATGTTACTGTGTAGGTACTGATATACAGTACCTAACTGCCCTTTTGGGACTGTTGGCTGCGGTGTGATTATATTATCTCGTTTGTGCTCTGTTAGGAGGTGTTCCCACATTTTTAGAGTCTCATCGCTCAGAGAAACTGTTAGCTCGTACTGTCACACAGAAACAAACAGGTTCCTGTTTTCACCAGCAGCCACATACTCCCACAAGGCATCATGGGGGCTAGGGATAAAGTGGCTATCTTTGAATGGTAGAGCTTTATCCTGAGCATGGCACAGTGAGCTGTGTTTACAGGCAATGATTTATGGAAGTGCTGCTGAGCCCCTGCAGTGATCAGAACAGAATCAGACCTGGTTCTAATGCTGTGGCCCCTGAGGGCCTCAAGATCACACACATTCTTTATTGTGTCTTTTGCTCATAGAGATTTCTCCAAATTCTTACATGTTGATGATATTATGAACTGTAAATGACGGGAGATTCAGTTTTTTTTTTACAAAATTCTTCTGAAACTGTTCGTTAAGACACTTCACGTCTGAGAGATTCAGTCTCTCTAAAATGATTCTTTTTACTCAGACGTCTCTCTGACCTGCTGCCAGTTAACCTCATTAGCTCTTTCTTATTTATACCACTTACTTTTACAGCTGCTGCCATAAATTCAAARTTGCCTCTTTTTTAAACAGCACAACTTTTAAGTTTAAGCATTTGATTAGTTTGTTGCATTATTAATGAGATAGCATTTCTTAATTTCAACCTTTTTGAAATTAGAGTTCTATTTGAGGCTCAAATTCTGGGTGTTTTTTTAATTTTGGCAGCAGTCTTTTTTTATTTATTTATTTTAAATTTTTTTGCCATTTGCTGTAGTTGTGCAGATCTCTCGTGTGCTCTGCAGTTAACAGCTGCCAATATACAGCCAGGGTTTGGGGGATCAGACGGCTCTGCAGCGGCCCAATAAAGAGCCCCTGGAGTGGACTGACGAGAAATCTCACACCTTTCACTCACATTAGCCATGCAGCGTGTTCTTTTGATGCCTGAGAGGAGTCTGCAAAGGAAGCAGGGCCAGAGAGATTGTGAACCTCCGTCAGGTACTTTCTACGGTTTAAACCTTCAGATTCTGAAACGATATCAGAGGGGAACGGTTTCTTATTATATGAAAAGCAAAGGTGGAGGATAATGTTATGTCTGTTTGTTCCCAAAATGTCTCATGAAACGCCTTACAGATTAGTTAAAACTCTCAGAAAGTAATTGAACATACATCTACAAGTGAGCCAACGCAGTTCAAGATGGCTGCCGCAGCCAGCGACCTTAGAAAGCACAGAAGTAGCTATAATTCAGGTCATTTTACAGACACTGGTCTGAAATGTGTYGTAGTGGTCAGAGAGAATCATTCACAGCACCTACACACTGTGCTTCATAGTTTAGCATCTACTGTTGATGCCAATGCTGTTTGTCTGTTAGCAAAATATCTCAAGAAGGACCAGGTGGATTTGAATGGAATTTTGAGAGAATAATCATTGGATTTACAACTATAGCTGATTAAATCTGGAGCTTTTTCAATTATAATAACTGACATAAAAACTGGTTATAACTCAGTTATCTTTTATATTATCCAACATCATCGGGGACCCTTTTATCATAGCAATGTTTTCCTCAAGAGTGTTTATATTTTTTATTTCATTCTAGTGTGCTTATCTTTTATTCTCTTGATTGTTTTTACTTGAGCGGTTGGAGCTGTAATAACTATAATTTACCTCAAAAATCAATAAAGTATTCTGATTCTGACTTTACAGATGCAGAGGTAAAATTCAACGTGGTAGTAGCTGAGAGTTGTTTGCACAACACACTCAGAGTTCAAGATTTATTTTCAAACTGGAAGCAAAACAACCCTGTCATTTCTCATCACTAGATGATCTTAAACTGAAAAATGAATCTGGAGTCTCAGCAGGCGACATGGATTCAAGGAATGTTAGACTTTCACTTGTACTTCAGTATAAAAAAACATTTCAGA